CCCCCCCCCCCCCCCCCCCCCCCCCCCCCCCCCCCGCCTCACAGCGCTTGCTCTGTGTTCAGCAAGAGTTCACAGATCAGCAGGGTGTGCTGCTGACAGGCCTCTCCACCCAGCCCCTGAGTACCTGCAGGAGAATTAAGCAGTCCAGGACAGGATGCCATAAGCCCCGCCTCCTCTCACCCTGGCCCAGGTTCCCAAATGGGAAAGACTAACCCTGCACATGGGTGAGAAATCTCAGGAATTTTCCTCCCTGGAAGTTTTAGTCCCACTTCTGCAGCTGTGTCTGGAATCATCCCTTGGTGACTTTGTCTGCCTAAGATCCTTGGCTCTGCTTGGCCCAAGTGCTTTTCCAGTATCTCCCACCCCAAGCTGTGGAAGTAAGTTAGCAGCTGCTCTAACCATTTGGTGGAGTATATGTGGCTCCCCAACTGTCAGCTGGAGCCCCAGCCCCTTTAGAGTCTAGATCCACATGACCAGAACCACTAACCCTTGCCTCGCGGGTGTCCCAGGCCTCCCTGAGACTTCCTGGTCACGGACTAAGGCCCCAGCATGCTCAGCCTCAGGCCCGCACCACACTGCACCTCTACACACACTGCGTGGATGGGTCACAAAGCCCAGCCTCTTCCCACCAGCCTCACAAACCAGCTACAGAAAGTATCAGAGGGACAGGAAAGTTATCCTGGGGTGGTTCTGAGCACACTGCCTGACAAGCTACCTACAGCCACCCTCTGGCTGTTCTTCTTCTTTTATAATGACAGCATAATACAGAGCCGCACTCTTTTTTTTTTTTTGGCAGCAGGTGGGTGGCGGTACCGGGGATTGAACTCAGGGGCATCAACCACTGAGCTACATTCCCAGCCCTGTTTTGTATTTTATTTAGAGACAGGGTCTCACTGAGTTGCTTAGGGCCTCGCCATTGCTGAGGCCAGCTTTGAACTTGTGATCCTCCTACCTCAGCCTCCCGAGCTGCTGGGGATTATAGGCCTGCATCCTCACCAGCAGGCCAGCTTGTTAAGTGGCTTCCAGCTGACCATTTTGCCCTTAGAGTCTCTCCAGGCCAGTGAATCATCAAGGAAATTTCTCAATTACTAATTACTGTGAGGACAGTAGCTATTTAGCCTCATCACTAATGTGTATAACAAATTGGATACGTGTATAAATATTTCCTATATAGCTATAAAATCAGAATCTTCATAGAGAGACAAAAAATATGTCTAAGCAGTTCTTTTAGGGGTAATGTTTAAAACGATGATCTGAAATTCATACCTTCCTAAGATGGGAAATGGCACAGCTGCTCAGGCCCCCTTCTTGCCCCTCCTCACCTCTCCTGGTGCAGCTCCCAGCCCAGGTGTGCCACACAGCATGCTAGACGTCATCAGCAGTTGTCATCCTGAGGAACAAGCAGGACATCTGTGCCTGACCCATGTGTGCTTTCAGGGAACACAGAGTACCCGAGACTGTGTCTCTCAGGGCCATGAAGGCTGGCCACCCTCTGGCCTGCGATCCCTGGTTTCTCGTAAACAGACAAGAGGAGCATGTTAAGTGCATCAAGCAGACGCATGACAACAGCGCTTGGGAGAAAGGAGCCAGCACCCCACGTCCACACACATATGCACCCCCCCACACACATACACACCCAGAGTCTGGCTTCATGTGTGGACCTGGGACAGGATCTCTCCACCTCAGCACTATTGATATTTGGGGCCAGATAACAAGGGCTGTCTGAGCACCACAGGATGATCAGCAATATCCTAGGCCTCCCCCAGCTGGGTGACAGCAGCACCCCTGCCCCCTGCTGGGATGATCAGATACGTCTCCAGACATTGCCAACCCTCCCCTAGGAAGCAAAATCACCCCCTCCCCGCTTGAGAACCAGTACTCTGTGTCTATATAGGCACATATTGTGCTACAGAAATGTATACATACATACAAACAATTAAATATTTATATGTCCTTATTTTAAGTTGGCATCTGGTATAAACTTTTCATTCAATCAGCATATGCACAAAACAGAATTGTGACATATTTTCTTCCTTTTCTCTTAAAAATTAATGTCATCTGTGATAATAGTGACATTTGTGGTGACTGAAAAATAGAACCATCTTATCTTTCTGTAAAGTTGGCATTTACCTTAACCAGTAAGGAAAGGGGCCCCTGGGAGCCTTTCTTGGCTTCCCATGGTCCTTTCCATTCTGAATCCTAACTCTTTAAGTGCCAAGAACCCAGATGGATAAATGGGGTGTCCAATATATCTTGTACTCATCCCTCACCAACCAAGACCTCCCAGGGATTCCCATGCAAATCAACTTAAAAGGTGGAAAAGAAAGACAAGTGTTAGTTAATGTCCAATTCCACAAGATTACTTTCTCAATCAGCCCAACTATAGTATATCAGTCAGAATAGGCTAAGCTATGGTTCAAAAACAAATAATTCCCTCAAAAAAATGGCAGTGGTTCATGACAGTCAAGATTTATTTCTCTCAGGCTTCATGGCAATTCCAGGCCACGCTCTGTGTTGCTGTTGCCTGGTTCTGGGTTCCAGGCTGACTAAGCAACCACACAGGGAACAAGGGGAAGTACATAGTCACTCTGAAAGTGTCTGTCCTC